AGCTAGTATTAGGTTGGTGCTAATGTAATTGCAGTTTTTGCATTGTTGAAATTTGCTGTTTGATACTGGATTACATTCTTAAATAAATGTGGTTATATTACACATTATTTTAATGTGCATTTCTTGCTTTATGTTTTTTGCTAATGTTATTACTTGCTGTTTATATCTATTTTAGACTATGAAAATTGATGTTAGACAAAAAGCAAATAAAGCAAATTCAAATGATTTTCTTATTTGAGTGCAAAATGGGTCATAAGGCAGCGGAGACAACTTGCAACATGAACAACGCATTTGGCCCAGGAACTGCTAACGAACGTACAGTGCAGTGGTGTTTCAAGAAATATGCAAAGGAGATGAGAGCCTTCAAGATGAGGAGCGTAGTAGCTGGCCATCAGAAGTTGACAACGACCAACTAAGACCAATGATGGAAGCTGATCCTCTTACAACTACACAAGAAGTTGCCGAAGAACTCAATGTCGACCATTCTACAGTTGTTTGGGATTTGGAGCTAATTGGAAAGGTGAAAAAACTCGATTAAGTGGGTGCCTCATGAGCTGAGTGAAAATTTAAAAAATCACAGTTTTGAAGTGTCATCTTCTCTTACTCTACGCAACAATAAAGAACCACTTCTCAATCAGATTGTGACATGTGACGAAAGTGGATTTTATACAGTAACTGGTGACCACTAGCTTAGTGGCTGGACCAAGAAGAAGTTCCAAAGCACTTCCCAGAGCCAAACTTGCACCAAAAAAAGGTGCCAGTCTGATCCACTACAGCTTTCTGAATCCCGGTGAAACCATTCCATCTGAAAAGTATGCTCAGCAAATAGATGAGATGCACAGAAAAGTGCAATGCCTACAGCCAGCACTGGTCAATAGAAAGGGCCCATTTCTTCTTCACAATGTCTGACTGTACATTGCACAACCAATGTTTCAAAAGTTGAACAAACTGGGCTACAAAGTTTTGCCTCATCCGCAATATTCACCTGACCTCTTGCCAACTGACTACCACTTCTTCAAGCAACTTGACAACTTTTTGCAGGGAAAATGCTTCCACAACCAGCAGGATGCAGAAAATGCTTTCCAAGAGTTTGAGAATCCCAAAGCACAGATTTTTATGCTACAGGAATAAACAAACTTATTTCTTATTGGCAAAAATGTGTTGATTGTAATGGTTCCTATTTTGATTAATAAAGATGTGTTTGAGCCTAGTTAAAATGATTTAAAAATCATGGTCCAAAACCACAGTTACTTTTGCACTAATCTAATATACAGTAGTGCCAGGATTCAAATCCACATTTGCCAGACTCCAGAATCCAGTACTGAAACAGTTACCAATATAATACACTGTCCTGTTTGACAATCCATAGGCAAAAAGAAAAATGAGCTTATATTTATCTTGCATAGGTATAGCAGAACTCAGATTATACACCATAATTTGCAGGAGGTGAACTCATGGGAATTGTTCATAAAAAATCAGTTTATTAATGGTAACAGATAGACAAGTGAATTAACACAAAATCAAATACTCAGAAATTATGAACTAAAAGACAGTACAGTCTCAGGCAAATTCCTTAATTTTAATCTAAACTTGTTTCCTCATCTGCAAAATAATACTCTATTTTTCAGGATAGCAGGGAGAAAATAAAACACACAAAGCACTGAATACAATGATTACTACTTGGTGATTCTCAGTAAGTGGTAGCTCCTATCATTATCATCATTATGCCTGTACAGTTTTATATAGAGTATCAAGACAGTAATGCATACTTAAATAGTAAAATTACTAAACTTAGCTTCTACAGTCAATATTCCTTAATGATACTGAAGAATGAATCAAGAAACATCTCACTAGCCCTGGTCTATGGGGGAAAAAAAAACAATGATAACATTTGAAATTTCTCCCTCTTACATATTAAATGACTCAATAATTTACTTTTAGAATTCATATTCTAAATATGAATTCACTTAAATATTCACTAATAGGCTGCTCAGTTGGCATACATCACATATTTTACTTTAGTACATTAAATAATACTAACAACAATTAACAAAGATTTCTCCTTGTCTACGAATAAATTATCTTTAAAAATAAGAAAGGGTGGCCGGGCGCGGTGGCTCAAGCCTGTAATCCCAGCACTTTGGGAGGCCGAGGCGGGTGGATCACGAGGTCAGGAGATCGAGACCATGGTGTATCCTTGCTCTACTAAAAAATACAAAAAACTAGCCGGGCGAGGTGGCGGGCGCCTATAGTCCCGGCTACTCGGGAGGCTGAGGCAGGAGAATGGCGTGAACCCGGGAGGCGGAGCTTGCAGTGAGCTGAGATCCGGCCACTGCACTCCAGCCCGGGCAACAGAGCGAGACTCCGTCTCAAAAAAAAAAAAAAAAGAAAGAAAGGGTGGCTGGGTGCGAGGCTGACCCCTGTAATCCCAGCATTTTAGGAAGCTGACGCGGGCAGAACACTTGAGTTCAGGGGTTCAAGATCAGCCTGGGCAACATGGCAAAACTCTCGTCTCTACCGAAAATACAAAAAATTAATTAGCCAGGCATGGTGGTGCATGCCTGTAGTCCCAGCTACTTGGGAGGCTAAGGTGAGAGGATCATTTGAGCCCAGGAGGCAGAGGCTGAAGTGAACCGAGATGACACTCTATGCTGGGTGACAGAGTGACCTCATCTCAAAAAAAAAAAAAAAAAGAAAGGGCAAGCTTGTACAAGGCATCACAACCCTGCAGTTGAGTATTTTTTTCAAGAACTAAAAATCACTCGAAATTTGTTATCTCAGCTTAAATCCCACTGTTCTGAGAGAGACCCAAAGATTAAATCTATCCATTGTTCAAAGATGTAAAGAAATCAACAGTATAGGAGAAATATATGCTTCATGCATTAATCTTCACTAAAGGAAGAAAACACAAAACAGGAACCTTGCAAAGGAACTGTCATTGGACTTAACAGAGAAAAGTGAGCAAAATAAAATATGTTTAATTAAAACAGAAAAAAACTTGCCCTGTAATAAAAATCAACTGATTAAGCCCTTAAAGGTCATCTCCATTAAAAATATAGAAATTAATTCTACTTAATAACATCTTTAATCACTAGTGAGATGGCTGGCCTTGATTAAATAACATGAAACAGGATGTTCTCCTTATATGCACATTTAGCTTCTCTCACCTAATGTAAAACTCTTCATCCAGAAACAAGATGGTATAATTTAGTGAATTTAGTTGGGACTCCAAATCTCTTGCTTTTCCTATATGCCATAAATGGGCAAATATATCAGTCATTCTGGTAAGAAACTTTGCATATTATCTCATTTATGTCTTACTACAACTTTGAGAAGTACCAACATTGACAGCTGAGAATAAACACTAAGAAGAGGTTAATTACCATGGCCAAGCTCACACATGTCATATATGGCAGAGGCTGCATGTATGGCCTGGCTCCAGAGCACTGAGATTTTTTGAATACTAGCTCATTTCTCTTTTAAATAATAGAAAAACAATAATTTTTTTCCATATTTAGACTTTTCTGAAGTAACATTACCAAGATAACTAAGACTTAGAAAATGTTTTAAAACCTTAACACTAAAGTTTAAATATATAGTCCTAAAGCTAAAACAAAAAAAGACAGGTAACAGTCAATTTTATTTAGGCTGGTAGAAATCTTAATAAACCAAGAAAGAAAAGCTAATACGATTGGATAAAGAATTATGCAATCTCAGGTGAGACTAGTTTTTCTTGGGTGTATGGGTGTAGGGGTGTGTGTGTGTGTGTGTGTTGTGTTTTGCGCTTGTTAAAAATAACCAAAACAGTACCAGAGATTTCACAATCGCATACTTCTTTATCAATTGTGTTAGTTTTTCTTTTTCAGGCCAGACTGGTTTTTCTTGGGTGTATGGGTGTAGGGGTGTGTGTGTGTGTGTGTTTTGTGCCTGTTAAAAATAACCAAAACAGTTGTAGTGTTTCAACTACAACTCTGTGAAACTCAAACAAACAAGTACAGGCAAGTATGTAAACAAGCAAAACTTCTCTAAAGTCATACTCAAGAATGACATGGTGGATTTAGAACTTTCTCTGTTCTTTGTTTTATCATGGTATTACTGAATTAGCTAATAATACGTATTTATTAATGTATTTCTTCAGTCTACTTAATATTTATTAACAAAAGTCAAAAACAAGCTTTAAATTATATGAATGTACCTTATATATTTATATAATAATACTTTCTACAGGTTTATCATTAGATAGCCTCACATTTACAAAGAATAACCGATTTACAAATGTTCGTACTAAGAATTTACCCAAAGAGTTATAACAAAAATAAACATTGAAGCTTTTACAAGTTAGGGTTTTACAATCCAATGTTATTTCAAAAATCCTTTTCTTTAGATCATAAAAAAGGTATTTATTATGAAGCAAATCATAAATTAAAACTCGAAATATGTTTTATGAAAAACAGCATATTTTTGTTTTAGTTAACAATGAACAATATTTTATCTTTTCTTTTTTTGAGACGGAGTCTTGCTCTGTCGCCCAGGCTGGAGTGCAGTAGTGCAATCTCGGCTCACTGAAACCTCCGCCTCCCAGATTCAAGCAATTCTACTGCCTCAGCCTCCTGAGTAGGTGGGATTACTGGTGCTCGCCACTAAGCACAGCTAATTTTTGTATTTTTAGTAGAAAGGGGGTTTCACCATGTTGGCCAGGCTGGTCTTGAACTCCTGACCTCAGTTGATCCACCTGCCCTGGCCTCCCAAAGTGCTGGGAACACAGGCGTGAGCCACCACGCCCAGTCAAATAGTATTTATCATAGCAAATACCCTTAGTACAACTAAACCGTTAAAAATAAAATTATTTCAAAAATTTACATATGAACTGCTTTAATCTTTACCACCCAAGTAATGTTCAATGTTTCAGTAACTAATGTCACATGTCAATATTTTTTTAAGGCACTGTCAACAATCTCTTACCTAGTCCTCCATGGACAGGTAAACATCAGGAATCTTACCTTGTGCTGTTCAATGGCATCTATCCATTGCTGTCTATGATCTGGATCCTGAGCACGAAGATACCAAACACTATCATTTACACTAATATCAAATCGACATTCATCAAAATCATGAGGCTGTGGAGAAAAAGTAGAAAATGAAAAGCAAAGCTAATTATATCCTTAGAAGTGTTATACCCCAAAGCCAAAACATGAACATACTCATTCTGTGGTGGGAGACTTGTTACTTTTTATTTTTCTATTCAAATAACTTATCTGAAGATGTCTCAGATAAGAATGTACAAAGGCACAGTTACCAAAAGCCATTTTTCACTCACTACTCTTACAAAAGAGTTGTCACATATGCTACAAACATCTACTTCTAAAATACAGCTAATATTTTCATCAAATGCTCTGAGTTAACTAGTGAGAATGCCATGAAAAGGATAACTTTTTATTTACTTTTGAGGTGAGGGTCTTGCTCTATTGCCCACATTGGAGTGCAATGGCAGGAACAAAGGCTCACTCCAGCCTCAAACTCCGGGGCTCAGGTGATCCTCACGCTTCCCAACTGGGACTGTTGGCACACACCACCATGTCCTGCTAAATTTTTAAAATTTTTTAAAGATGGAGCCTTGCTGGCCAGGCGCGGTGGCTCACGCATGTAATCCCAGCACTTTGGGAGGCCAAGGAAGGTGGATCACGAGGTCAGGATTCACGACCAGCCCAGCCAAGATGGTGAAACCCTGTCTCTATTAAAAATACAAAAATTAGCTGGGCATGGTGATGGGTGTCTGTAATCCCATCTACTTGGGAGGCTGAGGCAGAGAATTGCTTAAACCTGGGAGGCTGAGGTTTCAGTAAGCCAAGATTGCGCCGCTCTCCAGCCCAGGTGACAGAGCGAGACCTATGTCTCAAAAAAAAAAAGAAAAAAAAACAAAAAAAATGGAGCCTTGCTATGTTGTCCAGGCTGGTCTCAAACTCCTGGCCTCAAACAATCCTCCCACCTTGGCCTCTCATGTTGCTGCGGTTACAGGCATGAGCTACTGTGCCGAGCTAAAAGCAGAATTTTTTTTAAGGCCAAAATAAGTTTTAGAATATAGATTTACTACTTTTTTCTTACTTCATTATTCAAGAGTAAACACCCATTAATAATTTTATTTCATTATTCTTGATATCTTATTTATCAAATCTTATGAAATTTAACAAAGCAAGATAAAAATAATGTTAACATTTCCCTTTAAGTATCTATAAAATTAACTTCCAGGCTTTTACATGTCTTTGATAGTAACAACCAAGAGCACTTCCAGCTAAAGGAAAAAATAAAATGAATATTACATAAGATCTATGTGAGCTATCTACAGAATACTCTGCACCAAAGGTGTAAACATTTAGTGAAAATGTCAACTTTTTGATTCAGTGCTCTTGACTCTTAAGAATATATAAAATGAGTGTTTTACATCCTTGTTTTTAATCTCAACAAATGAATTACAATATGACAGGAATACATCACATTTACCACCTCTTTTTCCATCAGATACCGTAGAGAGAGACAATCAATATCCTCTCCTGAAAAGATTCTTAACCTTGGAGGGAAAAGAATCCGCTCTGGGCAACACAACAGTGAACTTATTTGCTCAACAGAATTTACATCTTGTACTTCTTCCAGGGTTTATTGTTTATTCTCTCCCTCCCTTAACAACATCCACTTTTTATCTCGTCAGTTTATTTAGCAAAAACAATATAAACTAACTCTACCATTTTCTTTAGGCTATGAAACAACTTCTCTTTTAAGATTAAGATAAGAAATCATGGTTCTGACTGATTAAAGGATTCAAGTTAAATTTCCTGAATCAGTATGTGCTAGACAATAATAAGACTATAGTGAGAAGTAGAGTGTGCTAGAAAGAAGCAAAAGGGAAAAACAATGCATATCCTGCTTCAGTAATTATAAATACAGAAAGACATAAGCAATAACGAGCAACATTCATAAATAATGATCATAAATTTAAATTAATTCTAAATATCCGGGCATCTTAAGAATCAAGTCTAATTATTGAGAATAGCATCTTGGAGGAAACGAAACATATGCTGTGTAAAGCAGGAGTCCTCAAACTCTGGGTCACAAACCAGTACCAGTCCATGGACTGTTGGTAACTGGGCCACACAGCAGGAGGTAAGCAGCAGGCAAGCAAGCATTACCACCTGAGCTCTGCCTCCTGTCAGATCAGCGGCAGCATTAGATCCTCATAGGAGCATGAACCCTACAATGAACTGTGCATACAAAGGATCTAGGTTGCTTGCTTGCTCCTTATGAGAATCTAACGGCTGATGATCTGAGGTGGAAGAGTTTCATCCCAAAACCATCCCCACTTCCATGAAACTGGTCCCTGGTGCCAAAAAGATTGGGAAATGCTGATCTAAAGAACCAAATAAAGAAAGTAAAGCAGATGATCAGTCTCTTGCTATAAGTAGCCCAGGAGTTTTAAACTTTTACTCCAAGATCATTCCCATTATATTTCCAGCCAGTATTTCTCAAAATGTTTCACATTTTGTACTGTTAAATATCCTTATTAAAGCTTTAGAAAAATAAAAGAACATATAGCTCACAATTCACCATTTTCTCTGGCAAACACCTTCCTATGCAGACAAGGGAGCCATTTCTACCATCAATGATCTGAAGCATAGGTGGCACAGAAGAGAAAAGCATGAATTGTAAGTGGTGTAGAAAGTCTGAATAACACAGTAGTTTTACATCTCAACAAAGTGGAAAAAAAACGAGAGAAGAGTCTGCAGGGCAAAGGAAATGACAGATTTGGTTAAGAGGATGTGTTACGCAATAAAGCTCACATCACTGTATTACACACACGTATGTGCCCCAAACTTATAACAGATTGTTTCATTCAATAACCAATCCTATCTTTATTAAAAATTTTGATATTCTGCTCATTACACAGTAATTTAGTCCTTTAAAAAATATTGCAATAAAATATTTATCTTGATTATTGAGCTTTTTCTTGCTTCCTTAAATTTTGCGATTGAAGTAAGTCCCTCACTGGTCTTATCCTCCTTGCCTTGGTGCTGACAGGTAATTATCAGAAAGAAACAAATGTAGCATAGAGGCCAAAATTAGACGGAACACAATGAGAGGTGATAAATATAAGATATGACCTAAGGCAGCAGTCCACAAACTTTTTGGCCTCAGGGATCGGCTTCACGGAAGACAGTTTTTCCACAGACAGGTTGCGGGGAATGGTTTTGGGATGAAACTGTTCCACCTTGATCATCAGGCATTAGATTCTCATAAGGAGTGTGCGACCTAGATCCCTTGCATACACAGTTCACAATAGGGTTCGCACTCCTATGAGTATCTAATGCTGCTGCTGATCTGACAGGAGGCAGAGTTCAGGAGGTAATGTTGGCTTGTCTGCCACTCATCTTCTGCTGTGCGGTCTGGTTCCATGGACTGGTACTGGTCTGTGGCCTGGGGTTTGGGGACCCCTCATCTAAAGGAAAAAAAGACTAAAAAGTTTAAAGAAGAACTAAGGTGACAAGTGATGAAAAGAGGGCTGACAGAGCTAAGTTAAAAAACAAAACAAAAAACAGAGTTAAAAACGGGGGAAGCAACAACAAAAAGCCAGGTTTAAAAAGTCATGGATGGCTCACGCCTGTAATCTCAGCACTCTGGGAGGCCGAGGTGGGCAGATCACGAGGTCAAGAGATCGAGACCATCTTGTACAACATGGTGAAACCCCATCTCTACTAAAAATACAAAAATTAGCCAGGCGTGGTGGCGGGCACCTGTAGTCCCAGTTACTCAGGAGGCTGAGGCAGGAGAATGGCGTGAACCCGGGAGGCGGTGCTTGCAGTGAGCCGAGATCATGCCACTTGCACTCCAGCCTGGGCGACAGAGCAAGACTCTGTCTCAAAAAAAAAAAAAAAAAAAAAAGGAACGGACATGTTAAACAGATTTGAGAAAAGCACAAAATGAAAGAAATATAATAATGTAGAGTATCAAAGGAGATAAAGCAGATAAAATAACTTTAGCTGGTGTTTTCAAAGATGAGAATATAACACACATAACAGAAAGACACACTATGCCCAGGAAAAACAGACACAGAAAGATCAATGCGAATATATATTCTGTAAGGTTAATTAATTTCAAGAATAAAGGAAATGCTGTAGGACACTGTTTCTCAAGCTTTTTGCATTACCACACCCTGTACCCCAAAATTAAATACTAAGGATAAGATTTTTGTCCATTAGAATTTTGGGGGCCATAAACCATTGTTTTATCTAAGATTTCACCCCTTCTCAAGAACCAAGTATCACCACCACTAAGAATGCATGCTACAGGAAAAAGACATCTATAAAAAGGTGGGTTCCATATTTTCTCATGTCAACATTCACTGTTAAGGACAAAAAAATTTCAAAAGGTGAATAAATCCATGGCACTTATATCAATTCCCTACCAAAATAACCTTACAGAAACAAGAGAGACATAAATGTCCAAAAGAAAAAGAAAAAACTTATCAGCAAAATTCACAGTTGGAATGTGGTAAATGACTTAAAAGGCGTTACCAAAATACCAGGGGTTTGGTCTAGGTCCTGCTGCTCACAACACAGCAAGCCAATCACCGAGACAATGATTACTGCCAGGGAAGAAGGCTTTAATAGGGTGCTAAAGTTGAGATGGGAGGTCTCAAATCCATCTCCCTGACTAACTAAAATTAGGGGTCTATAGAGCAGGGAAGAAATATAACCATGTGTGGAAACATAAGAATTAGGGAGGGGTAAGGAAAAGGAGTTGCTCAACAGGAAGCAGGTGGTTGGTTAGGCACTCATATAAGAGTTCTGGCATTTCATTGTCCAGATGCAGTGATCTGGTAAGTTTTCGGTTCTTTGATACCACCTGGGAGGCCTGATGGTTGGCTTCCTGAGAAAGGAATTCAGATAAGACAAATGTAACTTCCTCAAGTTTCAAAACTAGAAAGGTCAAGTGCTAGGTTTATGCAAAAGAAACCATAAACATCAGTTCTATAGGAAAACTGGATCAGTTTCACAGGCCTGAGAAAACTGAAAATTAAAAATCTACAAGGGAAAAGAAGACAAAAGAATCAAGCCAATTTGCACACAAC